AAGGAGATGTATTTATTTATTGATTTAATGCCTTACCTTTCCTGAACCTAGGAACCAAAGGCCATTCACTGCACAAAGTAGAGGTATGACTAAAAAATGACAATTATAAAATGTTTTAAAAATAAATTATTCGATTTAAATTCTTACTTATTTAATGCATTTAAGACATAACAAATGAGATTAAAAATAAAATACACACACATTACAAGACCCAGCAGGAAGTATTTCTCTGCCAGCAGAAGGAAAGCAAATAATGCGGCAGTCTAGGAACAACTAAAGGTGCATCTATATTGTAGAATTAACCCAGTTTACACCACTTTAACCACCATGACTCAATGCTATGAAATCCTGGGAGCTGCTGTTTGGTGAGACAGAATACTCTTTATTTATTTAAAACAGTTATATTCTGCCCTTCACACCTTCACACCTTGAAGGGGACTCAGGGTGAAGTACAGCATATAAACGGTAAACATTCACTGCTGGACAGAAATAGGCCTTGTACATACATAAACATTAAAATCATTTATCTCAACATTAAACTCCATTGTTTAAACCGTCCCAATCATCCGCATCAAATCCCGTTGGCATAATAAGTTTTCCTATTGCTACCTTATTGCACTGTCCCAAAGGCTTGGTCCCACAGCCAAGTTTTTATCATTCTTCTGAAGGACAGGAGGGAAGAGGCTGCTCTAATTTCACCAGAAAGGGAGTTCCGAAGTCAAGGGGCAATCCCTGAGAAGGCCTTCTCTTTTGTCCCTGCCAGTCATGCAGGGTGGGACAGTGGTGGGATGGAGAGCAGGGCCTCCCCAGAGGATCTTAATCTCCATGATGGTTCAGAGAGGGAGATGCGTTCAGACAGGTAAACTGGGCTGGGTTTGTTTAGGGCTATACAGGCCAAAACCAGCATTTTGAATTGTGCTCCATAGCAAAATGGCTACCAGTGGAGCTGGTGTAGCATGGGAGTTGAATGCTTCCTCTATGACACTCCAGTTATTAACCTGGCTGTCTCTCATTGGACTATTTGAAGCTTCCGAATAGTCTTCAAAGGCAACCCCATGTAGATCACGTTGCAGTAGTCTAACCTAGTTGTGATGGTTAGACGGTGAACCACAGTGGCCAAGTCTGACTTCCCAAGGTACAAGCGCAACTGGCGCACAAGTTTTAATTGTGCAAACACCCTCCAAGCCACCGCTGCAACCTGGGTTCCAGGCTCAGCAATGGATCCAGGAGGATTCCTAAGCTGCAAACCTGCATCTTCAAGGGGAGTGTAGCCCCATCCAACACAGGGTGTAACCCTATATCCTGTTTGGCCTAACAACTGACGAGGAGTGCCTCTGTCTTGTGTGGATTCAATTTTAGTTTGCTCACCCTCATCCAGACCAACACAGCAGAGAAGGGGAAAGACATCCAAAATTACAACTCCAATGGCTCCATGGCATTGAACCATGGCAGATAAAATGGTGTCAAACTGTATTATCTCTACAATGAAGAACTATCGATGGTTTTGTCATCTCCAGTGGGAGACATATCCATAGCATGGAAGAAACCAATGGGAAATCCTTCTTGTGTATTCTAACTGGACATCCTTCTGATCAAGGTGGGATCAAGAGAAAACTATACTTAATGATACATTTTATTCTGCTATATAAAACACAAAACAAAGAAGAAGTATTCTTAACAATCCAAATGGAAATAAAAGCATGTCAGTTCCATTCATACAACCAAAGATGATTTAACCTCCCACAAATCAGATAACAATAAGTATAATAAAACAAATGAAAACAATTTGACTTCACGAATGTCTGTGACCTTGTTCTAGTAAATACAGCAAGAAACTTGGCTGTATTTTCAATAATAATTTGGTTAGTACAGAGATAAAGAACTCATCTGGATGTTCTGGGTATGAACAAAGCAAATAGGGAAATAAAACGATCTCCTGAATCCCTGTAAAATTTATAACACAGATGACATGCCTTTGTGTTTCGATTACACCACTTCCACATTTGCAAATTTTCAGACACTAGGGTAATTAGTCTCCCATGGCTGCTGATAACAAAGAATTTACCGTGGCCTTGCAAAAATTTTTCTAGGGATCAGAGTATTCAAAGCTCTACCTTTAAGGCTGCTGGGGGACTTGCGATATTGGAGTCAGTACTGTGCAAATGGATCTTATAGAGTTACACTGACCTAGTGGTCAGTAGTTTGCATTGGGCTTGCTGGCTGTGGTCATATTTCCAATCTTCATAGGTTCAATGTTTTTCTCTGTTTGTAGGCAGTTTTGCTGGCACAGCCTGGTGGTTGGTGCTGGCACAGTTTCTGTACATGGGGGGAAGAGTATGCCAGCTGTTTTCCTGAGATTTTGGCATGTTTTCAATAGTATATTTTCTTTCTTCTTTCCTGCACTGAACATGTAATTGTCACAGTGACTGTTCTTTGGTGTAGCAGCAACCTATCTTCAGTTCAGCATAATGTGAACATAGGATTATTTGTAAATTGGGTACAGAATTTCCTTTGTGGGAAAATCCATTTTACAATGCTAGATCATGTGGGTATATAAAGGCATTCCACAAGTTTATTAAGAAATTATTGCTGCTCACTCAGACATGTGACATTGCTTTAAAAGCAAATCCAAGGAATAGTTTGCTGATCAACATCAGGTGTGCTCCTTGCAGCAAATTTCTAAGACATGTTTGTTGCAATAACACTTCTTCCTTGAGAAGCTGGCTTATTTTCCTGTTAGTTTAATATAGAATAATGTCTTAAAATATATTTAAATTTTAAAATATATTTAAATTGCAATCTACAATTAGGTGGGCTGGAGTTTCTATAAGACATGCCCCTATTTTCTTGATATCTACAATGTTGCTACAGTCAACTTGCAACTGGACAAAGTCCTTGGTTGAATGTTGTTTTGGGGGATTATGAGTATTTGTATTTTAGTTGTGTCAAGGGAATAATGTGGCTCTGCAGGTGGCACTGAACTGCATACACAACCATTCTTCACAATTGGCTAGTGTAACTAAGGCTGCTGGGAGTTGTAATCCAACAAAATATGGAGAAATAACATGAGTCTCATCCTTGACATCTGTATACAGTCAGCCCTCCGCATTCACTGGGGTTAGAGGCTTGCGACCCCTGCAAACGTGAGAAACCGTGAATTTAAAAATGCTATTTTTTACCTAAGAGAACACTTCTCCAGGAATCTCTATGTCTTCCAGGATGACCCCATGATCAGCAGAAGTTGACCATAGGATTGCATTGGAAGACCTAGAGATACCTATAGCTCCTCCAGTAAGGACCTCATCACATTAAGACCGGGATTCACCATGTGTGATGTCTTGGCCTAGCTTTTTTCCCTCCTCTGTTTCATTTCCTTGTTTTGTTCTCCCTTTGGTGTGGGCTTTTCCATTTGTGCTTAGTTTTAGGGGTGGAACTTAAGACCCCCCCTAGAGGCCTGGCTCAGTTGGTTTAGCTCTTTTGCCTCACAACTTGTCTAAAAGGCCTTTCCCTCCTTTTTATTTTGTGTCAGAGTTTTGGAGGAAAAGGCCAGAAATCGTCTGGGTTCTTTGGCCTGGCAATCCAAACAAGCATTCTATAGCATGTATATACCACATAGTCACTATAGCTTGTACTATACCATCAGCATAGCTATTACTGACCATCATAGCTTAGTATTTACCACTGTAGCCCAGAGTACTTTACCAATATAGCTTGTACCTTTACCATATAGTTGTTATAGTTCTGTACTTTACTATTTTAGTTCTGTATTATATCAATAGCCAAGTATTTACCAATAATTTAGTCCAGTATTTTACTTTTCATTGCTGAGTACTTACCAAGTGACTTACCACAATTTTAGTCAAGTGTTTTACCTCATATTTTACAAATATAGTCAAGTGTTTATTACCAGTGTAACTAAGTTCAATCAACAAGCTTTGTCTTTGTAATATTTTATTTTGATTTGCCTTTCAAGAACTCTGACTGAAGTTAACTTTGCCCTTTTTGTTTCCAGTAAACTTATTTGGTTAACTTTAATCCTGTCTCAAAAGTCTTTATTTTAAAGAACTGAAATATATCAGAGGGTATACTGATAGCCACCAGGAACAGCCAGACATATAGTTGTCCTTTTACCATCAAACCATGCATCGTGGTGAATCTGGCGTTGGGTGTGAAGAACCCATGCCTTGCATCGCCCAGCTTCCCCCTCGCGCCATCATACAGGGGAAAGTGTCCGCTGCCCTGCTTCCCCTCATTGTTACCTATGTAACATGGGAAGCCTCCCATGCTGCTACAGCTGTGGCCTATGATGCCCCCTCTTCACTTACACCACGGAGCCCTGTCAAAAGTAGATCTATGGCATAGGATGGGAGTAAATGGGCTCTGTGTTGCAAGTGAAGAAGGAGTGTCGTACAATGGGCAATTTTGCTCTCTGATGAGGTAGTAAGACTCAGTGATCAATCTTTGGCAAAAAAAAGTTAGCCATAGAGTCACACTGGAAGACTGAGATATTTCTAGAGAACATTATAATCACATCCACAAATAACCAAATCCTCAAAAGTCAAACCTGAAAATGAAAATGTATTGCTTTGTTCTGATTAGTTATTCGTCATTTGAATGCTAATCCAGTCTGATTCGGAAACATAAGCCTCTGCATCATTTTGTTTGGTGTTTAAACTTAATGTTACAAGAATATCAATGCAAGAATACAATAACAGACTTTCAAATTATCTCGGTGTTGGGTGTATTTCATATTAGCAGGGATACATCTGTATGTATAGTAGGGATGAATCTAAACATATAAAACACCATTGAATTATATTCCCTATAATACCTTCTCTCCTCCCATTTACTAGGGAGGAGAGAACATTAGGCTGTGTAGGAACTCTCTTCTAATGAGCCAATCAATTATACTATTAAAATGAGAAATGTTCTTTAATTGTGATGTAAAGTGGACTTTCTACAATTTTAGGTTACTGAACAAATGTGATTTTATTTTACAGTATTCAGTAACTTCCCTCAAGACTATCCCAGAATTACACAGGAAGTGCGATTCACAAAATGAAGACAGAACAGGTATGCGCTTGTGTTCTCATTTTTAACACTTCTATTTGTTTATGTGGACCATAATAAATTTCTTTTCCAGCAGTCTTTTTCTTCTTTCAAACATCATACTCGTGAGTTAGCTTTCTAGTTATAATGTATTCTTCTACCACAACTACTCCCTGAATTTTCCTCTTGCATTTTTCCCCTGTAAGATGTTAGGTCATTAGCAGCAGCATCAACAAAAATAGTTCCATAAAAGGATTTGGCGGTACACAGATAAACGCAGGGTTTAATCTCAGCAGCTCCAAGCCACAGTATATGCAACAATTTACTGAAAAACCCGAGAAACCATTAGTGACAAGACATAATGATGTAGGCGCCAATGAAAAAATGTTGGATACATTTACTACCCATATGGTCATGACCAGTTTGAGGCATGATGTTTTGCCAAATCCCGAAACTCTATCAAGGATGCTACAAGATAGAATCTCTTCTCAGGCATACTGTAATAGTTAAGATGAAAGCAAAGTTTTGGAGTTTAATAGTGTAAACTAAATGAAGAGTCATGGCACACAGATGAGAACCAGCTGGAGACCTTTCCCCCCACTGACAAAAAGTGCATTCAATGTTGTTTTTCGCTTTGTAAATCGGATTAAGGCTCTTTTGTTTCTGTTTTCAGCATGGAGCAAATTGTACTGGTGAGAGTAACATATCTGCATTGTGCCTTGAACAAATCTTTGTACTTGTATCAGATCATGGCTTCTTTTATACTTGTAAATATGAAATGCCTATAATAGAAATCCGAGGCCTCTGGTTTTTTGAGGGACAAAGGTTTTTAGAACCATATTGGGCTTTGGCAAGGATTTTCTTTCTGTATCCTCTTTCACATAAGGGAAAATTACCATCATGTGTATTAGAGTTATAGCATTTTCCTGCCACAGCCATTAGCTACTAAATTGTCACATCCCCTTTCTCAATCATACATGGAAATACAAGGAAACTGTGTCTTCCTGTCTTCTCATTCCTTTCTTGATGCCTCGCAATCCATATTTTGCCTAGAGCAATAACGAGGAAAGCATTTGGCATGTCCTTATGCAAGAAAGTAGGCAGGAAGATGGTGGAACAGATGCAGCTCTAGTTTTGTAGTTTTTCATTCTATAACGAGTAATCCAAAACAATTAAGCCGATGCATACGAACAGAGGGATGGAAACATGCAAACATACACACTTGATGTAAACTCATATCTAATGCAAAGTCCTCTTCCTTTTCAATAGGATTTGCACAAAAGTAAAAGTGCACTGGATAGTGATCAAAGAGTTCACACCAGAGCTTGTGGTTCTGCATATCTGAGGAATATATGCCAAGACAGTTCTTAAATTATCAGGAAATAGCAGACGTTATAGCTTTATGGCTGAACCAATCCAAATCCCTTGCAGTAAAACCCAAATCTTTCCATCTAGACAGACCCCCAAAATCTCTCCCTTTAAATCCCCTGCCTAGAGGAGGTAGCAGTACAATTCCAGCAGCAGACAGCAGCCGCAAGCGAGGCAGGAGGTCTTTGTATCTTATTATTGGCACAGTATGTATAGCTGTACAATTGAAAGATGCAAGGCCCTAGGAAATGTAGTTTCCCATCCAATTTGGAGTTGCAAATAATCCTTCAGTGAACTGTATTCCCCAATGTCTGCTGCAGTCTTATGTCCTGATATTTTGCAATGCAGCACATGGGATCCTTTGTGGGGTACACAAAAGGCTTTCTTTTCGTTATGGATGCTTCCACCCACCAGCTAGGTAAGGGTAATAGGAAGGGAAGAGTGATGCATTTTATGAGAAGATGTGAATAGGAAGATGATCTTGGGTAGCATCATCTTAGTTACATACGCTGATGTAATTGAATGTTATATGTATTTCTTAATGGTGGGTTAACAGAATTCAGTACCTCAGTCTGCTAGGGCTCCCTCTCACATTCATCCATCTGCAAGTTTGGTGCCCCCACTTGTCTATTCAGGTTTTTTTTTCATGTCAGGAGCAACTTGAGAAACATTCCTATTCAGTAACCAGGGATAACAAGAATAAATATGGTGGTAGGAGGCTGCAGGAAGGGACAGCTTTCCTAATGCACCTAATATTGGTCCTCCAAAGGTGCAGGAGATTGACATTGTCTTTCTGCAACCTCTTGCAGGATTGCATCCAGTTGATTCCTGGCCAGCCTACCTCCTCCCTGGACACTGAATGGCTGTGGGTTATGTGGGTATTCTTCAGACAAATTGGGAGATAAGAGAGTACTTCTATAGGCTTTGTGGAACCTTATATTCCACTGGATCTCAGTCATGGAGATCTAGATTTATTTTAATTCAAGAAGGTTTACTCTTTAATGCATTTTTTCATGTCCGGAGTGACTTGAGAAACTGTAAGTCATTTCTGGTGTGAGAGAATTGGCCGTCTGCAAGGACGTTGCCCAGGGGATGCCAAGATGTTTTGATATTTTACCATCCTTATGGGAGGCTTCTCTCATGTCCCCGCATGGGGAGCTGGAGCTGACAGAGGGAGCTCATCCACACTCTCCCCAGTTTCGAACCTGTGACCTGTTGGTCTTCAGTCCTGCCAGCACAAGGGTTTAACCCATTGCCTCACCGGGGGCTCCTCTTTAATGTATGAAATCTTTATAATTTTTGTTGGAATTATTTTTTTTCATGTTTGTTTCCTCTGTCTATGATTGGTGTGGTGCCATTTTCACTGATTGGGTCTTCTTTCTCCTTATTTGAATGATCCTAATGAATCAGCAATGCTAACAAGCGGCATAACTCATTTGCATTTATTAGGCAAGGCGGTTTCGTTCGTTAATTTTGTAATTCGTTAAATATTCGTTATTTTTAGCAATTACGAAACGATTACAAAACACATTTTCAAACCCGGAAGGGGTTTAAAATAACGAAACGGCATCCCCCATACTTTTAACGAGCTTCCGCCCGTTTCGTAAATGGGATGGAGGATGCTGGTGCCCTGGGAGCCAATCCGGCGCTCCCAAGCACCCAAGCAGTGCACCGTGGCTGTTTCTGATTGGCCGGCAAGCCCTTTAAAAGCGGCTCCGCGTGGCCGCACAGCTCATTTGTTGCGGAGGCGAGGGAGAAGAGAAGAGGTCCGGGAGGGCGGCTTGCATTGGGTTGGCTCGGTTGGTTGGTTGCTGGCTAAGCTTGGATTGGATTTATTCCTTGCTTCATTCCTTGCTTGGATTCATTCCTTCCTTCGGTTTTTGTTAATTTGTTAATTTTCAATTTTTAAATATTTTTTAAAAATACCTGTCTTTTATTCTTAAAAAAAATACAAAAAATATTCTAAAAAGAAAAGACTCTTCTGTTGGTGTGTGCTCTCATTTGCCCTGTCTCGTGGCTGTGTTTGGTCCACATCAGGGCCAGTTTTTGGTTAATTTTCCATTTTTGAATATTTTTAAAAATACCTGTCTTTTATTCTTAAAAAAATACAAAAAATATTCTAAAAAAAAAAGACTCTTCTGTTGGTGTGTGCTCTCGTTTGCCCTGTCTCGTGGCTGTGTTTGGTCCACATCAGGGCCAGTTTTTGGTTAATTTTCCATTTCTGAATATTTTTTAAAAATACCTGTCTTTTATTCTTAAAAAAATACAAAAAAATATTCTAAAAAAGAAAAGACTCTTCTGTTGGTGTGTGCTCTCATTTGCCCTGTCTCGTGGCTGTGTTTGGTCCACATCAGGGCCAGTTTTTGGTTAATTTTCCATTTCTGAATATTTTTTAAAAATACCTGTCTTTTATTCTTAAAAAAATACAAAAAATATTCTAAAAAAAAAAAGACTCTTCTGTTGGTGTGTGCTCTCGTTTGCCCTGTCTCGTGGCTGTGTTTGGTCCACATCAGGGCCAGTTTTTGGTTAATTTTCCATTTTTGAATATTTTTTAAAAATACCTGTCTTTTATTCTTAAAAAAATACAAAAAATATTCTAAAAAAGAAAAGACTCTTCTGTTGGTGTGTGCTCTCGTTTGCCCTGTCTCGTGGCTGTGTTTGGTCCACATCAGGGCCAGTTTTTGGTTAATTTTCCATTTTTGAATATTTTCTAAAAATACCTGTCTTTTATTCTTAAAAAATACAAAAAATATTCTAAAAAATAAAAGACTCTTCTGTTGCTGTGTGTGCGTTTTTCATTTGTGTAGTTCCAACCAGTGCGCTCCTTTTGCCAACACAAAGTGCTATAATACAGTGCTCGCTCATTATTTGTGTAGTTCCAACCAGTGCGCTCCTTTTGCCAACAAAAAGTGCTATAATACAGTGCTCGCTCATTTGTGTAGTTCCAACCAGTGCGCTCCTTTTGCCAACACAAAGTGCTATAATACAGTGCTCGCTCATTTGTGTAGGTCCAACCAGTGCGCTCCTTTTGCCAACACAAAGTGCTACATACACTGCTCGCTCATTATTTGTGTAGTTCCAACCAGTGCGCTCCTTTTGCTCATTATTTGTGTAGTTCCAACCAGTGTGATGAAACGCTTCCTTCCCGGCTTTTCTAGTCGCAAGGGCCAAGTGCTATCGCGAATACCGAAGAAAGGCAGGGGACTGAAGATGAACACATTGACAAGAAGGGAACATTCATCCAACGAGATGGTTATTGAAACACCCACAGATGCTTCAACCAGCTGTGAGATGGCAGAACCTTCTTCTTCATCAGTTCGAAAGACTCTACGTTCAGATCCTGATGTCGTTCCAAGTACCTCTGATATTACTTGTTATGAAGAGGAGGGCGAGGAGGCGGACGTGTCAGAGGAATGGGAGGAAGACAAGATGGAATGTGCTTCCACCACAGGAATTAGTGATCAAGAGGACTGCATGCTGATGGAGGGCGAGCTACAGAAACAACCAACGATTATACTCCCTTCCACAAACACCGACAGTCCAAACACGAGCATGAGTACATCTGAAGTGCCTAGTAGGGGTAGGCCGAGATCGCTCCTATGGGATCATTACGACGTCCATAATGAGAGGGCCACTTTGGCAGTTTGCAGGCATTG